TAGTCAGCGCTCGCAGCATTGGCTTAGAACGCTGATCGGATGCTGGTTTGGTCAGCGCTCGCAGCCATTGGTTTTCCAGCATGCTCATTTGACAGAAGCAAGTCGTGAAATCACCTTCTGTCGGACAAGGACCTGTAGACATAGGTGTTGAATGCCGGCCAGTTTCTACTGGGTTTCTGTCTGAATTTCGGCTGATATTCGGACCGTGTGTGTAGGGCTTAAGCCTCCTTTTCATTTAAATCTATTTCTGTAGTCAGCCGAAGTGCAATCTTGATATGGTCCTCCACAAAATCAATGCCAGGGTGAGCATTATGCCAGTTATGGGGCCTGTGCCTTAAAGTTATATAAAGAATACACAAAATCACATGACAATGGTAGCAGCTTAGCCATGCTGTTGGGGGTGGCAGAGCTCCCTGTTTTTGGGTTTTGACAGCAGTAAAAACCAACTGGGGACCAAAACCCACCCCTGCCAAAAGTAAGTGTGCATTTTGGAAGAGTTGCTCCTTAGGTCATGTTAGAACTGTACTAGATGGAGAGGCGGTATCACCAGAACTCATATACAGCTACTGTGGTCAGTGCCCTACGTTCCCTTGTACCATTTACTAAAATGATTGTATTAAATATCCTTTTTCAAGCATTGTTTCTGCAGTCACATCCCTGCAATCCATCTCTGTGTCAATGAATGTTCTCCTGATAGGCAGCACAGTGGCTAAATGGTTAGCACTTCTGCCTGGCAGTACTCGGGTCGTTGGTTCGAATCCCAGCCATGGCACCACCTGCCTCCCCGAGGTTTGCATGTTCTCCCCGTGCCTGCGTGGGTTTCCTCCAGGTACTCCAGTTTCCATCCCACACTCCAAAGACATGCTGGTAGGTTAATTGGCTCCTGTCTAAATTGGCCCTAGTATGTGTATGTATGAATGTGAGTTAGGGACCTTAGATTGTACATCCCTTGAGGGTTAGGGACTGATGTGAATGTATAACATATATGTAAAGTGCGGCGTAAATTGACAGCGCTATATAAGTGCCTGAAATAAATAAATAGGCGGATAGAGACTTGTTGGACGAGCAGTGAGCATTGCAAGAGCTCAGTCTGAGTCCTCATGCACACGGGACGTTTTTAATGGCAGCGGCTGTTTTTGGCTTTTGACGTTTTTTTTCTACAGCCAGTAAACCCCCCGGCATGTTATCCTATGTGTCCATCCCCGGCGTGTTATCCTATGTGTCCATCCCCGGCATGTTATCCTGTGTGTCCATCCCCGGCATGTTATCCTATGTGTCCATCCCCGGCATGTGTATCCTGTGTGTCCATCCCCGGCATGTTATCCCTGTGTGTCCATCCCCGGCATGTTCTCCTGTGTGTCCATCCCCGGCATGTTATCCTATGTGTCCATCCCGGCATGTTATCCCATGTGTCCATCCCCGGCATGTTATCCCATGTGTCCATCCCCAGGCATGTTATCCCCATGTGTCCATCCCCGGCATGTTATCCCATGTGTCCATCCCCGGCATGTTATCCTATGTGTCCATCCCCGGCATGTTCTCCTGTGTGTCCATCCCCGGCATGTTATCCTGTGTGTCCCTATCCCCGCATGTTATCCTATGTGTCCATCCCCCGGCATGTTATCCTGTGTGTCCATCCCCGGCATGTTATCCTGTGTGTCCATCCCCGGCATGTTTATCCTGTGTGTCCATCCCCGGCATGTTATCCTATGTGTCCATAAAATATGTTATCCTATGTGTCCATCCCCGACATGTTCTCCTATGTGTCCATCCCCGGCATGTTCTCCTGTGTGTCCATCCCCGGCATGTTATCCCTGTGTGTCCATCCCCGGCATGTTATCCTATGTGTCCATCCCCGGGATGTTACCCTATGTGTCCATCCCCGGGATGTTATCCTATGTGTCCATCCCCGGCATGTTATCCTATGTGTCCATCCCCGGCATGTTATCCTATGTGTCCATGCACACAGAGACTGGAATCAACGTTTTTGGGCTGGAAAAAATCCCAGGACTAGTGGGTTTCTAGACGAGTTTTTTAGCTGTAAAAATGCTGTAATGATGAAAAACACGGCAAAAAACGCAGTAAATGGCAGCAAACCACCGTTTTTGGACTTGGTAATAAAAACCTCTAAAAAACGCAACTAAATGCTAATAAAAAAAAATGCTAAAAGACACTGAAAAACTCAAAATTTTAACGTGACTTTACACAGCTAACGTTACCAAGGTTCTTAAACCACCCCGTGTGCATGGAGCCTCACGCTGCCAGAACATGTACATTTTTAGAGAGTCATTAGAATGTAAACTTCACTATGTGAGAGATAATGAAGGTGGGTGCTTCAGAGTCCCAACAACACTGTTGCAGAAGTCTTTGTACTGGGGCTGTACAGCGTTGTCCCCCTCGGAATGGAAGTGAAAATACACAGCGGGTCACTTGGACCTCATAACTAAGGAACAACAGAAAACGCATACTTTATTTGAAAATTGCTCGGGTTAACCTTGCAAATCTGAATTTTTTTATTTTTGCCTGGAGGAGCACTGTAATTTCCCCAGGGAATTAAAAAAAAAAAAGAAATAAAAAAATAGAAGGCAAATATTTTTAATATCCAGCACCAAATGCTGAAGAAGTTCCATTGAATTTGTCATTTTAGAAATCATCCCTTGTATACAGTATGTCATTAAGAACAGCTATACATAATGCAAAAGACTGCAGTCATTCCAGACCCAAATCTGTGCCATTATCACTTCAGATATGGAGGGTGTCTGAAGCTAATTTCTTTTTAAATTTGGATAATGTGGGGATGGGCTGGAACCCCTATATATATATATATATATATAAATAAAAATGTAGCTGCCAACCCTGGCTAGGTGGTGGACTTGAAGGTAGAGGATCATTGAGCCCAGTATTGATAATTTAGTGCTAGGTTTTTGCCAGGTGAGGCATCATTTTTTTTCCCTGGATATATATATATATATATATATATATAAACATACTACACTATATAGGCTATTCTGTATATATATATATATATATATATTACGTCCACATGGGAATACACATAGCCAGGGAAATGCCTCACCTGACAAAAACCTAGCACTAAATTATCAATATTGGGTTCAAACCTGATCCTCTACCTTCAAGTCCACCACCTAGGAGCCAGGGTTGGCAGCTAAATTATCAACACTGGGAGGACCAGCCCATTTAAAAAGAAGCTACAAATTCTCTCCTGATGATCCCAAGTAGATTAACCAACTTTTTAAACCCGTGTGTTATTGGGACAAGGCTGTGCCAAAATCAGCAGCACAATGACACTCAGTTCAATGATTCTCTACCGTTCATCACCTAGCCAGGGTAAGGAACTAAATTATCAATGTTGGGTGGACCAGCCCATTAAAAAGGCTACAAAGTCCCTTCTGTTGATCCTAAGTAGATTAACAAACATTTTTGGGCCCTCAAGGTTGTGCCAAAATCAGCAGCACAATGACACTGAGGGCCCAATGACACCATGGGGGCTAAAATGTTTGTTAATCTACTTAGGATCACCAGAAGGGACTTTGTAGCCTTTTTAATGGGCTGGTCCACCCAACATTGATAATTTAGTTCCTTATCCTGGCTAGGTGATGAACGGTAGAGAATCATTGAACTGAGTGTCATTGTGCTGCTGATTTTGGCACAACCTTCAGTTCAATGATTCTCTACCGTTCATCACCTAGCCAGGATATGGAACTAAATTATCAATGTTGGGTGGACCAGCCCACTAAAAAGGCTACAAAGTCCCTTCTGGTGATCCTAAGTAGATTAACAAACATTTTAGCCCCTGGTGTCATTGGACCCCCAAGGATGTGCCAAAATCAACAGCATAACAACTCTCAGTTCAATGATTCTCCACCTTCAAGTCCACCACCTAACCAGGGTAAGTAAATGAACAATGTACACTAGAAGTAAAGCTGAACTCTGGACACAAATACTTCCATTGAAATATATTCCTCAATGGCCACAATTCACCAAATGCCGTTGCCAATCTAGATATTACAGAAATTGTCTACGCAGCGGTGAAGCTGCACACAAATCTGGAAGAAATACACAAAGCACACCAAGATTCAGGTAGGAACACATCTATTTTATTTAGAAAATATTTGCTAATGTTGAGTTTCAGTCACTCTTGTTAATCCAACCCACACAAACATTCTGAGAAGTCACTTTGACAGAAGCAGAATGACAGTGGCTGCTCCTCTTATTGGTGGCCATGGCCACTGACGAGGTCCATTGCTGCAACCTTTACACAAAAAAGCCCCGTTTGGCTAAAGAAGCCCAAAATGCTGCTGAATTTGACTGCAATGGGGCATAACCCGAAGCAGTCAGGATTATCAATGGTGATGAAAAAAGAGAGTTTGTCCATAAAGTTAAACAGGACATCTTCACCTGTGTGTTAATGCTTGCTTGTGGTCAGAGAATGAGAACACTGAGGTTTCCGAGGTTGTTGTCAAAGTGAAAAACAGGAAGTGTGAACACACTGAACAAGGAGAAGTAATGTTCTGTACCAGGGCTTCTTTTAGCATCTTGTACAAACAAACATGAAAATCTCTTCAATTAATGATTCAAAAATGACCACAAAAGGAGGAAGAACCAAAAAGCTTGAACTTCTTGTTGAGGTTCTCTTGTATATTATGGGGCAAACTCAATGTGTAAAATGTCTCTGGCGTTCATTGTCCCAGCATAGCAGTCTATTAAGGCACCCAAAAAGGCCGTGGCCTGATCCAACCAAATTTGGCTAGATTGGACGATTGTTATGGCTATAGGTACATTCAGATCTGACCTCACGTGTCCGGAAGCTGTCCTTCACGGCAAAATCTGACCAAAATTTCCAGTGTGGAATACTATTTAAAGATAAGGAAAATGGGAAGGGTGTCTGCTACAAGCACATACATGACATTTTTGGGTTTACGAACAAAAACGGTCCGGAAGTTAGAATTTATGCAAAATTCATCCAACAATGTATGGTCTATAGCAGGGCTTGAAATTTCCACTCGCCTGCTCGCCAATAGCGAGTGGAATTATGGTGGGGGAGAGTGTCCCCCAGGGCCGTCTTGCTTAGCAGGCTCGGGAGCTCAGGCCGGATCTGTCATTGGTACTGGGAGCCGTCAGACTGCTCAATAGCTGAGCGCTGTGAAAGCAAAGCAAGGAGTGTGTGCTGTGCTCTCTGCCCCACCCTAGAGTGCAGTACCCGGCTCTGTGAGTGAACAATGAAGTACTGCAACTTTTTATGGGGGGGGGGTGTGTGTGTGTAGTGTACGTGTACAATGTGTGTGTGCTTTGTGTGTACGTCTGTGTATGTATGTGCAATTGTACATGTGTCTGTGTGTATGTACATGTGTGTGTATGTACGTACATGTGTCTGTGTGTACATGTGTCGGTGTATGTATGTATGTACATGTGTCATGTGTTGGCGTATGTACTATGTCTGTGCGTATGCGTATGTACATGTCTGTGCGTATGTACATATGTCTGTGCGTAGTAAATGGTTCTTATGTGTGTATTTCTCTGTATGTACATGTATCTGTGTGTATGCGTGTCTGTATGTGCCTGTGTGTGTGTACAAGAGAATGTGTGATTTCTCTTCACAGGAAGCGTGCGTGTGCATGTTTCTGTGTATGTGTGTATGTACATGTCGTGTGCGATGTGTGTGTGTGTGTGAACATGTCTGTGTGTGTACATGTGGGTTCAGAAGTTTCAGTGTGCGTGTGTCCGTGTATGGCGTACATTGCTGTGAATGTCGACTGTGTGTGTGGACATGTTTCTGTGTGTGGACTGTGTGTGTGTACATGTTTCTGTAAAAGAACGTGTGTGTGGTGGAGGGTCACATGTCTGTGCGTGTGTGTGTACATGTTTCTGTACGTGTGTGTACATGTCTGTTGCGTTGTGTGTGTACATGTTTCTGAGGAAAAGGCTGTGTGTGTGTTAAATCCGACAGAACCTGTTTAAAGAAAGCTTGCAGTGTGTGAATGTATGAACTGGAGGCATGTCTGTGTGTGTGTATGTACAAGCTGTCTGTGTGTGTATGTACATGTCTGTGTATGATACATTTGTTATTTCATCTGTGTGTACACAAGTTCTTTAATGTGTGTGGTTTGGGCAATGTCAAACTGGCCAAAACACTCAATTTCAGTGGGGTATGTACATGTCTGTGTGTGTGTGTACATGTCTGTGTGTGTGTGTGTGTACATGTTTCTGTGTGTGTGTGTATGTACATGTCTGTGTGTGTGTATGTACATGTCTGTGTGTGTGTGTATGTACATGTCTGTGTGTGTGTACATGTTTCTGTGTGTGTATGTACATGTCTGTGTGTGTGTGTGTGTGTATATGGAGTCTCTGTTTGTTGGTGGCGAGTAACTCTAAGGCTTGGCTAGTAGCTCAGGACTTGAAATTTTAAGCTCTCTTTAGCTAACTTTACAAATGAAAACTTTAAAATGAACCTGCACTTTGCCCACAAGACAAAACAACAGATTCTCATAATTGCCCTCCTCCGATGTTGAATAGACTCCATTTTCTTGGACACCCCTTACTTTCTGATAAAGAGGCTATTAAGTCTTTTTGGGGGAAAAAAAATTAATAAAAGTCAGCAGCAGCATACATCCTGTAGCTGTTGACTTTTAATAAAAGGACACATACCTGTCCAGGGATCCAGCGCAAACCTCATCCGGGTCGGTTGTTAGCTGGTCTGTGGGTCTCTGGTGCCTCCATGTTTAGTGTGGGAGGCCGGCTGTGACTCCTTGCGGCTTCGCGGCCATCTCTTCACTGTGCATGCACGAGCCGTGCTGCCTGCTGGGACCTGTAACGTGTCCAGTGGAATTGCCTAGGCAATGCGAACGATTACCCGCTACTCCCCCAAAAAATATAAAGTCCAAAAGTGTTAGAGGAGGGTAGGAGGAAAACAAAGTGGAACTTCCCTTTTAGGGCGAACTTCCGCTTTAAGCTGCCCAGAATGAAGAAGAAAGCTAGTCAACGCGGCTTACACAGGGTGAGAGAGTGAACGGAAAATAAGTGCTGCCGTGGTGGGGGCATTAAAGTGAAACCCTGAAAAAGCAAACCACAAACTTCATATCAGCAAATGTTTAGCCACCATTTCCATAGATTTTAATATTTGAAATATCTTGCAAGTTTTTCCTATTGACAGGCAATGTAGGTCACCAATGTGTTCAGAATCCCCCACGTGTATAAGTGTGGTCAACGGAACACCCCAACCTCGTGTCAACAGCAACATGTAGTATGAGTTACTGAGTAGGTGGAGCAATTTTCCTAAATCCCCTAGACTTGTGCCTGTATCACCGTTCTTAAAGCAGAGCTCCACCCAAAAGGGGAAGTTCTGCTTTAAGGACTTGTTTTTGTAGCTGCTAACTTTTATTTTTTGACATCGTGAGTGGAACTCCGCTTTAAAATGAAACTGAAACCAGTCAACCAGGTAAAGAACTAAGTAGGCCACAGAAGCAGCGATTTTCTTTCCTACAACCCCAACCACAGTTTGCATGAAAGAAAATCACTCGACTCCGTCATCAACACACTCAGTGCTGATGGGGGTATCCCTCCTGCAGAGGTATTGTGTTCTCCCGTCTGGGGGAGCCGTCCTGCTGGGAGAACACAGTGATTCTCTTATGAGGGCCATAGATGGGATGAAAAACGTCCAAAAAAAAATATCGGCCGATTTTCTGATCGTTAGTGCGGTAATCGGTCGGCCGTTTTTAGTGATTTTTGCCCTTTTCGATTATCGGTCCTGCTGGAAAATAATCGGCCAAATTTGTCATTCTGCCGATTTTCGCAGCAACGATTGACAAATCTGCCGAACTTTTTCCGATTTTAAAAAATGCGCATGAGCAGTGACATGAAAGAAGAAGGAAAAGAAGAAAAGGAAAAAAATAGAATATGAATGAGAAGAAGAAATAGAATATAAAGAAGAAGAAATAGAATATGAAGAAGAGGAAAAAGCAGAAATAGAATATAAAGAAGAAGAAATAGAATATGAAGAAGAAGAAAAAAAAAAAGAATTTCAGTCCGATATTATATTTGACATTTAAAAGTATAGCAACATTGTATCTATTTGTATCCGAATAGAAACATCTGTATCCGAAATGGATACAAATAGATACAATGTTGCAACTTTTTCTTCTTCTTATACATATTCTATTTCTTCTTCTTCTTCTGCATATTCTATATAATTGCTGGCCGTAGACGGGACGAAAATTAGCCGACTTTTTTTTTACCAATGGTGGTAACGTCGACTGATTGAACGACTGATTTTTTGTTTTTCTAAAAAAAAAAACGGACGGTTTTCTCCCCATCTATGGCCTGCATAAGACTGTAAGCTCTAACGAGCAGGGCCCTCTGAATCCTCCTGTATAAATTTGTGATGTGATGCGCAAACTGTTGGCACTATATAAATCCTGCATAATAATAATTACTGGAATACATATAATAGCCGCTTAGCAATAATCGCATGTAAAATCTGACAGGCTGGTTGTACCCAAGTTGATCAATCTATCAACTTGGGTACATCCAGCCTGTCCATACATGGTTCGAATCTCAACCAGTCCTTGATGAACCAGCTGAAATTCAAACCATCCATGGCTGGCTTTAACCACCTCAAGTCCAGACACTTTCACCCCCTTCCTGTCCAGGACAATTTTCAGCTTTTCAGCGCTGTCACACTTTGAATGACAATTGCGCGGTCATGCAACACTGTGCCCATATGCATTTTTTAGCATTTTTTTTAGACAGATAAAACTTTATTTGGTGGTATTTATTCACCACTGGGATTTTTTTTTTTTTTTTTTGCTAAACGAAAAAGTCCAAAAATGTTGAAAAAAAAGTGTTTTTCTTGCAAAATTTGCAAATAGATAATCTTTCTTCATAAAATCTTGGCCAAAATTTATGCAGTTATCTTTTTAGTAAAAAAAATAACCCAAATTAGTTTATAACCAAAAATTATAATTTTTCAAAAAAAAGTTTTACCTTTTAATTTTTTTTTTTATTATTATTTTTTTTTTTTTTTATTTTTTTAACATACTGACACCCTAGCAATACAGCATCACCATGGTGACACTATACTACTTGTGGGGGGTGATGAAGATTTTTTTTTTTTTACACGGATTGCTTTTACACCCATAAAGGTCGTAAAAACAATTTCTCCTCTCTGTGTGAGCTGTGATCGGTCACAGCTTGTCACATGGTACAAGGCTGTTGTGAATAGCCGTGTACCATGTGACCTCTGTGATCATTCACAGATTTCACACGTAGTAAGCAATGATGTCAGAAGTGACATCTTGCTTACACCTATTCATGTGATCACTGATTGGCCAATCAGTGATCACATGATTAGGACCTCACACAGAGGTCCTGTACAGCGATCAGGGCACCGGATCGCGGTGCTGCGCGCTCCCAGGGAGAGCGCACAGTCCAAAATGGCGGACGAGGTTTATGAACGGCAACCCGCCCCTGCACTGCCACCGTCTTCAATATTACAAAACAAGTCTAGTTGAATGTGACTAACAACGTCCGCTTATTAACCACCTCCTGTCCGGCCGCTGTATATAAACGGATGGGAGATGGTTAATAACCGGGAGTAGTTAGTCACGTTCAACTAGACTTGTTTTATAATATTGAAGACGTTTCCTAGCTTCTCCAAGCCACGGCTTTAGTTCTAATGGGTGTCAGGAGAATACCCCATCATTTAAATCCACACCGGTAGTACCGACACCTTAATCCAATCTCCATGGAAAGGCGGATGTCATCGACCAATGCCAGAATGGGAGGTCTTTTCCCCAAAGTGGCTTGGGGGCAACAAAAAGTCTTCAACATTACAGAACAAGTCCAGTTAAATGTGACTAACTACTATTAGATATACCATGTCCTGGATAAATCAGAACCTACTTCGACATAAAGCATGAATATGGTGACAACATTTTCAGAAAAGCGGAAGTTTTGCTACCATACCTAGCGGTTTGTAAATGGAGAGCATTAGGCAGATTTTCGCAAGCAGCAATGGAATAAATACACTTCCAAGATTTTTTTTTCTTTCTTTTGCTAAAAGATATGAAGCGTATGGAGCAAACACTGGCATCACCCAACTCTGGCTATGCACAGCGTAAGGACGTCATTCTATAGACTCCAAGCCACTGGCCTTCCTCCTGTCTGTTCTGTGAACTACTGGAGATTATCACCACTCCGGTGATCTGAACCCCGAGCTTCCGCGTTCTGGCAGGTAATTACACCATCTGAACCCGACACTTATTTCAGGATGTTTGAAGGAATACATAAGAGAACCGAAAGCCTTTTACGCTTGCTTCAAGCTGTTTTTTTTAAACCCGGATTCCGGGCAGATGAAAGAAACATCATTTAACGCAATTCTGAGTTCAATAAAATCATTATGGGCCCATTCACACTACTGTCTCTCTCTACGTTGTGTTGAGCATGCCCATTTACTTTCAAGGAGTCCTCAACAGCGAACCGCAGGGTCATGTATAGTGACAACGCACCACGTCGTGTTCTGTTGTACTACGCTTTAACCCCTTGACGTTGACATCGCACAAATATGCGGCCTCACAGAACTGGGCTTTTTTCTGTGGGGCCGTATACTGCGTATCAGTCTTTTTGCTGGGAGAGCGTCGCACGGCGTGCTCCCAGCACAAAGACCGCGGTGTCACTGAGAGCACACCGGGTCCCGTTCTAACGATCGGGACCCGGGACTCCCGTTCTAACGATCGGGACCCGGGACTCCCGTTCTAACGATCGGGACCCCCGTTCTAACGATCGGGACCCGGGACCCCCGTTCTAACGATCGGGACCCGGGACCCCCCCGTTCTAACGATCGGGACCCGGGACTCCCGTTCTAACGATCGGGACCCGGGACTCCCGTTCTAACGATCGGGACCCCCGTTCTAACGATCGGGACCCCCGTTCTAACGATCGGGACCCCCGTTCTAACGATCGGGACCCCCGTTCTAACGATCGGGACCCGGGACCCCCGTTCTAACGATCGGGACCCGGGACCCCCGTTCTAACGATCGGGACCCGGGACCCCCGTTCTAACGATCGGGACCCGGGACCCCCGTTCTAACGATCGGGACCCGGGACTCCCGTTCTAACGATCGGGACCCGGGACTCCCGTTCTAACGATCGGGACCCGAGACTCCCGATTCCAGGTCACGTGATTGCTGTGATAGCCTCTGATTGGCTATCACAGTGTTCAGTCACTGTACAGCCTGGCCCCCTTGTTTTATTTCTCTCTCCCGTTCTAACGATCGGGACCCGGGACCCCCCGTTCTAACGATCGGGACCCCCGTTCTAACGATCGGGACCCGGGACCCCCGTTCTA